TTCCCTTCGGAGTTGAATTATTTATATACACTGTATTATTTAGACAACGATTCCGTAATTAATGAAGTTAATCACGAATTATAAAGAAATACTGGAATCTGAAGTGTTATATCTAAGTTAGATACAGTAGCGAGCAAAAATTTAGGGAAGCTTGATTAGAAGTTAGTCCTATGTGAAAAGGAAAGAAGAAAAGTCGTATTGTGTCATCAGTACGTTAATTATTGCTCTCGAAGTTCTGAATGATTTTAAGGAAAACATTTCGAAGAAAGATGTCGAAGAGATTGAAACAGTATTTAACTAACTTGGAACGTACGACATTGAATTAAGTGAGATTTTTATAATTTTAAACGTTGAAATAAACATCTGTCAAGAGAGGCAGTGTTAGAAAAATATAGAAATAGTGTACATTGGTTTTCTGTATCTAACTAGACGATAACGACGTTTACAAATCTCTCCCTCATTAACACCAGCGCTCAAACATTTGAACAGCGTACAGTCTCGAGGAAAATACGAGGCTCTCTTCGTTTAACTTGTAACACCTATAAAGCACGACCTAGTGTTTTTTTCCACTTAATTAGTTCTTTATCCTCAGCACACAGGAATTTTCAGTTAACCCTTAGAAAACTTGATCTATTAAGATTTCTATATTTTAAAAGCAGTTTAAAGGAGACAAAAAACGAGATAAAAGCCAATTGTCTTGGCGAATGCAACCTTAAATATCTCGAACGCAATATTTTCCTGGCGATCAGAGAATACGCTATGTGCGAAAATTCTATATTCCAACGTTGAAACGTGGACAGAGGTGCAACTGTGCACTCCGGCAACCCGACCGAAAGAAACGAGCACCACTACTTTTACCTGTAACTGTACGCAACTTCCCTGTAACGCGGGTATCATGACAAGGTGTGAACAACTTCTCAAATCCTACGTAATTCGAGCACGGCTCGGAATTAACGAGGCCCGGCAGAATCGCTTCCACGAGTACAATTATTCCGATATATACTGTTCCAAAGTAAGTTTTTACGCGGCGCGCGGCCCGCGATGAACGATAGAACCGACGGCGCCGCGTTCCCACGGTTCGCCGCGGAACACACTGCATCTTTGTACCTATGAACCTCTGCGGAACGGTACCGCAAAACACGAGAGACGGTTTACGACGGTGCGCCACGCCGCGCGCCGTTGCAACGGCCGGATGCGACTGCTCCGCTTTTTCTACGGCGGACACGCTTTCTCGGTGAGCCTCGGTCGCCTCGATGAAAGGAACGCTGACCAGCGGAAATGGAGCGCGAACGGTCATCGATCGATCATTGTTCACCGATAATTCGCCCGTCCGTTGCTCCAGAACCCGGAGTTTCGACTGTGAGACGCTCTCCGTCCGCAGGAGGCCACGTGGACACGCGTAAATTCGGTTGTCAACGGGAGGATCGTTCCCAGTGGCCATTCAACGAGACCACTAGCGGACACGTGGCACGCGAAAAACGGAAACGGCCGAGGATCCTCATGCCGAGTTCGTCTCGACGTCGTTCGCGTGGAATCGACTCGCGGCGAACACCGACAAAGCGAAAACAAAAGAACAGCGGAACGAGAGAGGACGGAGCGAGACGGAGTTACGACTTACGTAACGACGGCAAATAACGCTAATGAGCCTACTCCGCCTTCGTTCCTCTTTATACTTTTTCCAGGAGACGCGCTTCCCCTGCTCACCCTCCCCGCTACCTCTTCTCGAGTTACGAAAACTACTCCACCGACGCGTAATCGCAGTGAAAAGAACACCGCCGCTGCCCGTGTTCCCAAAATATTAACTCCTGGCCGAGTGTGTACCGCGGCACGCATTGTGCTCCAGATCATGGAGCACATAAGAAAGTCTGAAATAGATTCTCCTCGCGCCCCGTTACCTCTTTCCACTTCCCTTTGTCGCGAATGAACTCCTTAATGCACGCCCCGGGGCTCTCATTTCAATTTCTTCGGGAACCGCTGTAAATTACCGTGTTTCTGGAATAAATAAGAAACGCCGGGAGTGCGGGTTCCGTTTGATAAAAAGTTCTTGCTTGGACAGCCTTGGTCGGATGGAATAGATCGTTATTTTCAATCCAGTCATCACTTTCTATATTTCTCTTGTAAAAAGATATCTCTGTACCTGCACTTCCTGAAAGTACCTAGTTCTGCTCCGTTTTTGCTGTCCGTTGAACGCATGCTTTCGTATCGGTCTACAAATTCAATATTGCTGATCGTCGAACTGCGGATGTAGATATATTCGTTTATAGCTTATAAATATTGTGAAAGAATACGATAACAGGTTACATCATCTCTCCGTATTATGTTTTTATCTACTGTGACCATTAACGCGGGAGATGAAATTGTATCGGCGATAAAGATAGAAATTTATGTAGAACTTCTAAGTCTCCCAATCGTTTGAGCAGGTGATTCTAGTTGCGAGTTCGGAGTATCGAGAGGACGCTAGGTATCTCAAGGCTGGCGTTATATCAACAACAATGACTTTGAATTCATAGATTCGATTAATTCCCGACACGAGCTAGACGCTTCTTATCGCGTCGCAGCTGAGGTCAACGTCTAACATGGAACTCTCGTGATAATGTATCAGCCGCGTAAACGATTTCATACACGGCACAACCCGTTTGCTTCGGGCGTTCGTTGAATCGGGAACGCAATGGATCGGATCGGAACACGGTCTCGCTATCGTCACGTTGTATCGTCACGATCTTCTGTCACCCGTAACCTTCCCCAGGCCATTCGCGAAACGGTGATTATTTTAATTATAAACGTACAAAAATTGCTTTGTTCCGTGATCGTCCGGTTTAAAAGTATCGTTTCCCTTTAGCCGCTTCCCCTTCCAGGAAAACTGAGCGTTGCACGGGAATTAACGTGGCAATTTCACGGAAAATCTGAAAAGTTCGCTCGGTTTCCGTGGCGGCCACGCGACACCGTGAAAGTGAGAGCTACGGTAAAACAAAAAGCAACAGACCGAGGAAACGGAACGCGGCATTTCTTTCGGCTGCGTTTGAAAGGTTAATTAAACGTCACGCAATTTAACATGCATTTTTCCGACGGATTCCGCGCGACGACGGCCGAATGAATTCGTGTAATTGAATAATTCGCGGAGGTAGAGCGACGGTGAGCGATAAAGATATTCCTTACTTTGAACCGACTGGGAAATAAGTAGATTAGTAGAACATTACATCGCTAATTACGCCTCGACGTAAGTCGACCGTGGATAAAAATTATTTCTACACCATTTTCGTTAATATCCAGACTCAATCAATTGTAGAATTAATATTTCCGTACAACTATCTTTACACGAAGTAATTTACCACGGGAACTACTTTTTTAAGCTGACTATTGGTTCAACCTTTACATTCTGAGAAAGGAATGTATCTATTTTCATTCATTGATAAAAACCCTATCTCGGAAAGCAAAAACTATCTATCGGCCTTACACTGTATAATTAGATTTCCGAGGTTACTGTTCCGTTAAACCGAACGTTGATCTAGTCGATGAGATTAATAAATGCAAATTTTGTACGTTTCTTTTATTCTCGAAACTTGACTGGCCAGATTAGATTATCTCACTACAAAATACAATGCAACGCGGTTTCTCTAAGCTGCTAATAGGGGATAACAGAAACGTTAGCACGCGAACCTGTCAAGTCGCTCTCAAAATTGCGCTGCAGAAGCTGCAGGTCACCCTATCAATTATTCCCGTTAATCTTATCACGGCCAATACAAGCACACTTTATGCGGACCCATTTTTTCTCCAACATCTCGCGGTCGGCTTGAAAGATGCACGTGACGTCTTGTGGCCATTTGGCCGCAACCCGATTATCGTTCCGCGTTCCAGCCTCTCGTCAAGCAATTTTTCTCTCTCCCTCTCCCTCTCTCTCCCTCTCTCTGTATATATTTTTTTCTCTCTTGGTCCGACACGAGTCTCTTAACGAAGATAAAAGGACTGCTAACTCGAAAGCTTGAACACGCGAGCGAGCGAGCTCGGCGAGAGGAACGCCCCGAATTTGCACCTTCTCATCATTTGCCTCGTCGACCATGCACGTTCCTGTTTGTGGGAGATGATACGAAATTGACTTGAATATATTCTTTATAATGCGACAAGAATTTTCTTTCTCTTTAGTAATAACGCGGAAATTTTAAATTGACATGTATTTTATAGATCAACTACTTGAAAGTATAAAAAGTATGTAAATACTATATAGTGAATTTTCTGTGTATAGAGTATATTAAAATGAAAGCTGTACCACGCCTTTGATAAATATTAGGGAAATATTAATTTCATGTAATAACGAAAGCAAGTTTTTATTCAATAGGAACAATTTGTGACCGCATTTAGCTATTAGCAATAACAATATGTCGAAGTAAAATTATCTAGCGCGAACTGAAATACTACATTAACTCTTTAATTAAAATCACGTAGACTTCTCCACATTCGATGACATTTGTTCATAGCTCAAAGACCGATCGGATAAAATCTATATGCTCTACACAGACAGTTAATAAAAAGGCACTCTAGTACGAATGTGGATTATAAACGAGGGTATAGGTTTAAACGCCAGCATGGAGACTTCTCTTGACATTTGCATAATTTTTTAACAAGACAGACTCATACGAATAATACCGTTACGCACACTTGTTTAATGAAATTACAAATTCCTTTGCGCATTAAACTTCTTAATGTATCCAACGTACGTTCGCGCCAACGTACGTTTGAATAAAGGGCGATTAATCGTAAAACCGTTACGTCCGTTTGGTCTACGTGTGATAAATAAAAACAACGCAATTCAATGTCGCTCAGTTTAGTTTCGAAACCTGTACAAAGTACAATGACGCGAGTGCGCGTGGACATTTGAATAATAGATAGGCGCTCGTAAATCTAAATTCAACCTTTCAACCTGCGCGCGTTCGTGAACCGACGCGAGAGAGTGCGGAAGGTATGATTGAGAGGCGCCATTTGTTGAAAGAAAATTTATCACGTACCTGGACTGGTCTGCCAAGATAGACCACCGATGAACATTTTCCTAGAAAAAGAAAGATGAATCCATCAGCATCGGCATCAGGTCGCGTCGACGGCAGAAGATGATGAAGGAAGTCGGGGGAGACTGCCGGCAGAGGGTAACTTCCGGTATCGTGACCCCCTGCGCAGTCTCCGTCTGTTGACGGCAGATGTCACCACACATCAACCAACAACTGAACAACTCCTGGTACATATCAGGATTTTCTCCCTTTTCTTTTCTTTCCTTTATAGATTTTCCTTTTTTTTCATCAACGGAAACCTCGCGGGCGACACGACAACGATTACCGATTCGCCGCGAAAAATAAACCAAACCATATTCACGCGCGAAACACAACAAACACGTTACCCTCTCCCCGAAATCACTGACGCCTTCTTTGTTTACAAGGGAAACGGTAATGGAGAACAGCGAGCTTCGCCGAAGGACACAATAATTTAAACAATCGAACGCGGGCATGACGTTGCTCCTATCGAGGCGCTATATTGCCCGTGATCCCGCTGAGTTTAATAAAACCGCTCGACACAAGGATATAAAATGTCACTTCCTCCTAGCCGAACTATGAATCAACCCTCGGTTTACGTTACTTGGTCCTCGACGGTTTACTGTACCGGATCGTAGTTATTAGCCAGTTTACGAGAAGTACCATCGTCATTGGTATCATAAAAGCTTTTATACGCCGGCTTGACTTTCGCGTGCTCGTGACAGCAGAGACAGCCACGGTCGTACTGTAAATACATTTTGGGTACAGACGCGTTCGCCTGTGCTGCATTTGACTTTGAGCAAGAGCTCTTTAAGGATGCACGGCAAGATTAATGTTTCCTCGTTATTACGCGGGTAACGAGCCGCGCAATGCTGCGCCGAACAAGACGAGTTCTCCGGCACAAGGCATTTCGCTCGATGTTCGCCGGTTCTACTTCAACCAGTTCGAGAAGCGAACAGCGCGCTTTTGTTCCATGAATTGTTGACGACCATCTCTGTAATCGTCGCTAATATCGCGCGCGAGTTCGAATACGGTCCGCGCAAATCTCGAGTTTATAGCAAACACCTTTGGCTCTCATTAATGAACTAGTATACCGAAAATAGTAGACGCGGCACGAAACCTGTAATTTACCGCCTCGTAAAAACTAGACCGGTCGGCGAGGTGCTATCATTAACTGTTTTACCGGTTTACCTATTAATCGGCCGGAGTTAATTAGAAAATACGCAAGCGCGCACGTGCGAGCGTCTTTCTCTTTCGACGCGTACCTCGTCTTTTTGTAATTTCTAATTCTCGAAAAACCCGTTACGACCGAGTGATCCACAAACACGAATGTATTACGATCAAAGGAGCAAGCGAAAGAATACCGGGACAGCGTATATCCGCGAAGATAACGCTTTCGGCGTCGTGGACGTAATCACGTGGTGGCGCATTTGAACATCGATTTTCCGCGGCACGATATAACCTATTCCCCTCGCGCCCACGCGTTTCTGTTTCTCTCTGTCCTCCCTTCGCCGACCCGCTCCACGCCCCCCCGCCGCCTCCTTCACTCTTTAGGTCTTCGTGATACGAAGAACTAGAGTAGGCTACCGCGCGGCGCTACACCTCCGTTGATAGGTTCAGCGGAATTAATAGGACAAACCATTGACCATATGTCGTCGCGATCGATCGTGCGAACCGGGAAATACATCGAGCGACATTACCCGACTCGCTTCGAACTTTCCACCGGGAGAAACACCGCTAAACGTTTGTCACCACTGTGAAACGGTTCGAATACATATTCTCGATTGTCTCCCGGACGTAAGGGGGTTGCATAGATGTGTCCTGGCGAACAGAACTCTCGCGCTCGATAAACGACTGACACGTTTCCCCCAGTTTTTACCGTGCCACGTGGTTAACGCAGCGGAGAAAGAATTCCCGCGACGCACAGCCCGCCGCTGCGCGCCCGTCGAAACATATTTTCGCGTGGCGTATCCTTCGACGCGCTACATTTCCAACGCAACCCTTCTCCCACTCGCCGAGATTCGACGATGTACACACATACGCCGTTTGGCGGCAAATTCGAAAGGTGTCAAGTCTCTCTGGTTTCTCTTTTCCCTCCCTTGAACCGTAACTCTACCACAGCTCTCTTCCACCCCGCGATACCCCTTGCCGTTTCTCCATCCCATTCATCTAGCCATCCCCTTTCGGCTCCCTCCTCTTTCGTTTCATCGGAGCCGGTCCGAGGGGGATGGCGAATGAGCGATGAAAGAAGGCGCCACCGGTTCGAGGAGAGCGCCGCGGCACGCATATTCACGCGCCTCGGCAAACATAAACACTATGCGTTTCCCGCGGGTCCGGCGGCCTGCAGCGGCGGTGACGACGACGACGACGATGATGACGATGATGACGAAGACGTAGGCGACGACGACAAGATTCACGACGAACGACCATGTCGTCGGCGTCGTGGACGATTTACGAGCGGCAATAACAAAACGACCGCGCGTACCACCGAACACCCGGAGGTCAACGTTTTATTATCACCGGTAGTAGATTGATGTATTGGAACCGTATAAGAAGCATCAACAGAACAAACACTCGGCACGGGAGCAGGACAACAGAAAACACAAGGCGACGAGAACAACACGAGGCCGGATATATTGATGACTTAATCGCGGTAATCATCAACACACTTGGACGCTTTTATTATGATACTCCTCGTTTCATTCGTAATCCGTTTCGCTCCCCCAATTTCTCTTTTCTCTATTCCCTCTTTCTTTCTCTCTCCCTCTATCTTTTTCTCTTTTTACATGACGCACGTAAAGTTGTTGGTGGTGGGTGTAGTGAATGGTCATAATAATTTGGGAATCAGGAGATGTAATCCCGCAGGTTTTTCTCGTACCCTGGATCGTTCGGCACCTCGGCTGGCGAGCCGCTCGCTACGATTTCCTGGCTTTGGGGCTCCATAGCGGCGCGCGGCGCACGGCTCGTTGTTGTCGGAACGCTCTCGCGTGTTCCGGGGTTGCAAGCGGGCAACAACGGGTAACACCAGCAGTGGCAACGGCAGCCGGTCTCGCCGATGGCCGTCACTCGTTTCTTCCTGTTTCCCTATCCGCGCGTATCCGTGCGAGAACGATGACGACGCGTTTCGAGTTTGCTCTCTCGCGATCACACACCGAGCAGAAGGCTTCGATCTCGGCCGTTGACCACCCGTTTAAATGCCAGGACACGCGTTCTCACGCGATCTTCGAGATCCTCCAGCAAACCGCCCCGAGACTTTCGGAGCCGCTCTCGCGCAACTTTCCACAGCTTTTCCAAATGCGTCTTCGCGGTCTCCCCTCTCCTTTCCTTCTTCACCTGTCTCTTCTTCTTCCCGGTTCCACCGGTGTGTGCGCGGTGTCTGGCGCTCGTTCCGTGCGAGGGGTTGTGCTGGTTCCGCTGGTTGTCGCGCGGCACACGTCGAGCTTCCGAGCACGATTATCGACGATAGGACGGCGTGTACGTGTTTCGCGTGTGTGTCTGATGGTTACGTACGGGACGCGCGCGTATGCACGTTACGTACGCTGTTATCACGCTCGGCCACTCTTAACGAGTCGAAACAACGATCCTCGCGCTGGTCCCCCTGGTGTCTATCCGGACCAAAGACCAGGTGAACGACGATGACGACTCAACGACGGCTGCAACCACGACCACGACGACGAACAACGACGTGCGACGAGGTGTTACAGATCACAAAGACGAAAAGACAGGCTGTCGACCTCTACTGCTTCACCCTTTTCTTCCTTGTCCGCTGGTTCCTCTCGTTATTTCTCGTATCTCTTCCGTTTTCCTCTTGTTCTTCTTCGTTCACTTTCTTTCTCCCTCTCTCTTTCTCTCTCTCTCTCTGTCGCTCACTTTCTCCCCCTTTTTCTTTTCAGCTTGATCGCTCGCTCGTTCGCTCGCTCGATCTCTCTCTCCTCTTTCTCTCCACACTCTCCCCTACTACTGACTACTAAAAACTAAGGAGAAGGTGAGAGGTTACGTGGCTGCGCGGTACGGCGACTACTGATGACGGGCGGCGGCCGGTACTCGGACGTGCGACGCGCTCTGCGAGAGGTTCGACGCGACACTGCGCTCTCGGGGCGCGGGGCGAGGGGAAGGGGTGCCGCGGGGAAGAGGGGAGTACGAACACGGAGGGGAAGAGCCGGTGGTGGTGGCGGTGGCGGCGGCGGCGGCAGCGGCGGCGGTGGTAGCTGTGGCGGCGGCTGGCTGTA